AGGGTCTCTAAGGCTGTCAATCTTCACAGAAGCAAAGCCCAAACCACACCCACTTCCCTGGAGTTGTGACCCACAGCGCCCCCAGAGGACAGAGTAGAACTGCCCCAGGGGTTTCCCAGGCTGCCTCATCTTTCTCCCAGGGAGCAGCTGGTGGGTTTGAACAGCAGACCTTTCGGTTAGCAGCCCAGTGCTTTAACCACTGCACCACCAGAGCATCTTGAGATAAGGAGGCCTCCCTCAAACGTCAAACAATGGAAGACACTACAAGTCAGGCACTGAGCTCAGATGACAGGCATGCAGCAGTGGTGAAGGACACACAAGCAGCAGGTGGCGGCAGGGACGGCAGCCTCCACCCGCACAGAGCCACGATGAGCCCCGATGCCGGGGAGGTCAGGAGAAAAACCCCGAGGGCAGAGGGACCCATTCAAGGCCCAGGGCCAGGGTTCAGGGATAGAAGCTGCCAGCTCAGGAAAGCAGGTGGGCCCTGTCACCCAGGCTGTGGACCTTGAGAGGAGGCTGAAGGTTTCCAAGAAAGGGGCTGGGGACCCAGTTTTCATGTGAAAAGAAAGTTTATTGTATAAAAACAGATTTTGGGGAGGCAATAATGGAAGGCTACTCCGGCAGCTCTAGGTGCAGGCGGAAGATGAGGGTGGTTGAGGCAGAAGAAGAAGAGAGGGCAGTCTCAGGACGGTTCTGAGAGAGCGACAGGACTCACAACGGACCATGAGGACAGAGAAGAATCCAGGGAGCATGGCCACACCACAACAGAGACACTGGAGAGGAGGACAGGCTGGGGCGTGGGAGGAACCAAGGGTCTTTTGTTTTTCCATGAGTTAAAAAAACAAACAAAGGGGACCAGGTCCAACAGGATATATAATCTGGGAAACACTGGTACGCAGATCTCTAAAGCGACAGGACCAGATGGGATTATGCACGGAGCGGGGCAGACCAACTTCTGAACGCAAGCAAAGCAAAGCGTCCCGCCTGAACATGGTGCTCGAGGACGCAGCCTGTCCTCGGGGCTCAGTGCTACTCTCCAACCCTTTTAGAGACAAAGCAAGTGACCAGACACAAGACGAAGCACGCACACAGACATGGGGGTGCAAGTGCTGCTGCTGTTGTCGGGGGGCACTGAGCTGACTCCCAGGGGCCCCGTGGGGCAGAGGAGAAGCACGCCCAGGGGTTTCCACCTGGCCCCCTGTAGCTGCAGATGCCGGCTCTCCTGTGGAGGTGCTGGGGAGTGTCCACTGTAGACCCTTAGGTCAGCAGGCATGCAGCGCTTGATAGCTGTGCCACCAGGGCTCCTAACACCTGGCTAAAATTCCAATGAACTGAGTATGAATGCTCTACAATGTGACCGGCTTTCTGTAGACCTCTGGCTACAGTGAGGAGCAAATACACAGTCTAGTGGTTTTCACATTCGCAGCCTTAC